ATCCTATCAGTAAATAATGATCCATCAATTGCATCCCAAATGCTTCAATCACACATCATAAATCTTGAAGAATAGTGTCAAAACTGGATAATTAAAATTAACTCCAATAAATCCCATCAAATTACCTTTACCCTTCATCGTAAACCAACGACTGCCTGTCCTACAGTTTCCTTTAATAATACTCCACTTATCCCTGTTGAGCAAACCCGATACCTAGGACTCCACCTGGACAAGCGACTAACTTGGAATCCTCATACTAGACTGAAACGACAAGAAACCGCTCGACGTTTCCGATTACTTCAGCACTTACAAGACAAACGCTCTAAACTTCCCATTAATTACAAAAGACTCATATACTTGACTATAATAAGACCTATTTGGACTTACGGAGTTGAGCTATGGGGCTCCACTAAACCATCGAATTCCTCTCGCATCCAATCCTTACAATCCAAAATCCTTCGTAAAATCCTCAATGCTCCTTACTTTGTCACTAATAAAATTATCCATAAAGATCTTAATGTTCCTTATGTTTCAGATCTGGCCCAATCTAGATACCTATCCTTCCATAATAAACTTCAGAATCATCCCAACCCTCTCGTTTATAACCTTGCTTCCTCTTCAATTCCTGATAACCCTCCGAGGCGTCTGAAAAGAAGATGGCCCCGTGATCTCCTAATGTAGTCATATCATTAGAGTGCTACCATTGGGTAGTTACTCAGCAAGTATATTCATGTCATTATAACTATTATGTCCAAATTTACTAGATGTATTTATGTAATACAGTTGCAAATGTCATTAAGAAATAAAAAAAACTTAAGTACTCCCTAGTTACTTATTAAAGTATATCTTCTTATTATCTATAACTTTATTGTATTCACAATCAACCTGTAAATATTAAATTGTATTTTTTGGACACCCCAAAATATTAATATATGTTCTGTATTTATAACTTGTTCTAAAGGGACACTAGTCCCAGAATAATAAAATTATTTTCATTCATACAAAAATAAAGCATAAGATTCATCCAATTTCATTCACTCTGACATTAAAATGCTACTATTCACAGGAGTAACTAAACTGATATACCCAATGCTATAATGGAAGAAAAAAGATAGCTTGATCCGTTGTGTCTGCAAGAGGCCAGATAGTATGGAGGTGTCTTCCATGGAGTTACTTGGATTGCACTTTGTCCATAACCCATAACCCAAGAACCTTATCTTTAGTCCATAGAACATCTTAGAATCAAACGTGGTTTTACGAAATTCTCACATTGTTATGATTCTCATTCCTCTTGTATGGTTCTCTAGCTCATCTGAAGGAAGATACTGATGGCATACAGAGGATCATAGAGCTAGACAAAATACAGTCAGATGACCTCTGAATTCATTTGCTCACTTATTACCCAGTTTCAACTGATCACCCTGAAACTGACTGAGGGTACTATAATTAATGTAACAGCTGTTTTAGAGTTGTTTGCCTTTGGACTGGAACATCACAAGTTTGAGAAGTTGCTGAGGCATTACTAGGTCTCTTTCGCCCGAGCCAGTCACATATGTGTTCTTTGTCAAAACAAATGTCTAGAGACAAGTACCTATATGGTTGAAGAAAAAAAAGAAATAGGATATAACAAATAGGAAATAGAATGGTCGTAAATCTCACAACAGTTAACACAGGGACAGCATACGTGTGAATTTTCTCACACTGTACAAGTTTAAATAAAAAAAAAAATAATAAAAAAAAGGGGGGGGGGTTGCCAATTTCTACTACTATAAATTATATAGTACATATATAATACATAGTATAATGACATATATATACTATATGTCTCTGATAGGAGAGAAACTTCAGATGAACAAAAGGATGATCTAAAGGTCTCAAGGGATGGAAATGGTTGTACTCAAATTGTAGTAAATTTAATCTAGTTTAAAAATGTGTAGAATGTTATTGTCTATAACTTCCCCTTGATGGTCAAAATGGAGAAAACTTATCAAAAGGGTGAAACATATTTACTTCAATTAAACTGTAAATGAGAGTAAACATTTATTAATGTGTAAAAAAAAACAACTTTTCTAACAAAAATCCCATATTTTCAAATTTGTAATTACATTTTATTCAAAATTATATTCCTCTTAAACTACATTTGATTACTTCTATACAAACATCGAAATAAAGTGCTCACATTTTACTCTAACAGGGATTTAAATACATATGTGTGTGAGTCAGTGTAATCTTATATAAATGTAAATATATACATTAAATTTCACGAGGATGTACACTTAATTACAAACACATTCTCACAGTAATACAGACATACATTTATAAAACAACTCATTTCAGAATTTATGTCTTCTATATACATAAACCAATAATTAATTATAGACAAGATAAGATTAAGTCATGCAAAAATATATATCTTTAAAAATCAACATTTCATGTGATTTTCAACTGTTTAAAAAAATCTCACAAATATTAAAAATAATTTACAAAACTTAAATAAATTCTTTAAAATAATTAATTAAACTATAAAATAATAAATAAGTTTTTCTAAACCAGAAAACAGGTTTGTATAAATGATTGATAAAAACAAAATATACACAAAGAACTTAGTAAGTGCCAAAATGGAAAAGTATTCCATTGTTGTCAGAAAAAATTATGTTGATTCGATTATTATTTAATTACTGTAAATTTTATAGCCCAGTCACATGGACTATATTCTGATACATCAAAACATTGTTTGTTCCTCCTGTAAAATTTCTTATTTTGCTGTTGTGCCATTGTTCTACCAGGGTGGTAATATGTACAATTAGTATATGTATAATCTGTTTTTTTTTTTTTTAACATGTGTGAAAATTTTTAGTCAACTTTTAAATGCAATTAATTCTATCTGAGAAAAAAACATGTATTTTAAATTTTATCTAAACCATTTGATCTCTTTAATAAGTTAGTCAAATGAAAAATAATTTCATAACAGCTTTTATCTTTCTGAAAGAGCTTTTATTATTATTTCACAAGATACCACAAGAAATCGTATATTGAACTTAATACTTCCATTTCTGATTATGGATAAAATGATAATGCAAGAGGGGATTAAACAATAGTTAAAAAATTCTCAACATATCACAGCTAATTTAATAATAAAGGCAATCTATAATACTGCAAACTTTATTCAAGAGGATTTTAATATTTCATAATATTAAACAATTTATAAAAGCAATGAATTCAAAATAATATAAACTAATCATATGACATTTTATAGGATCATTTTAACACCCTGTAAATAAAATTAATTGGTTCAGTGATATTCTCAAGAAAACCAAATATTAATAGTAACAATAATAGATATTTTTACACAGTTTCAGATGTTTTTTTACCACATACTATCCAACTATGATAGTCAAAACAAATATGAATTAATACAAAAAGGGTTAAATGATGAATTTGTTTTTTTTTTGCTTGCTTCGTATTTCTAAGTTTTGATAACACACATTTAATAAAATAAAGCTGCTAGTGAGAACAATTTCTTTTTTATGATCAATTTCTGAAAATAATAAACTTTATTTACCTTTGAGAGTAAGAAATTACTCCTTAATACCAATTCTCTAAATTATTTAAAAAAATTCACAGGTTTTTAATTTAATAATGGTTTCAGTAATAACATCTCTATATGATTGTTAATAATTTGCGAAATTACATAATTTTGTTAATATGTTTAATCACATACTTTGTGATAAGCTGACAGTGATAACATTATGTGCATTGATGCTCAACTTTTAGTATTAATGGGCCTAACAAGGAGAAATAATACAGAAAATAAAGCATTAAGTATGAGGACTGATTCTTCAGCTTAAAAGTAAAGGTCAATAAGATAGCTTTTTTAATTTAAAATTTGGGTTATAGCAATTTTAATTTATAACTAATTTTATAAAACTTCCCTTTTAATTTATAAGATTAACTAACTAGAAACCAATAAGTCCCAATTGAATGTGTCTAATAAACCTGTATTTACTTAACAAAAAATGATATAAACATAACCAGTCTTAACATGTTAAAAATATAAGAGAATTCTCTCACAAATTGTGTATTGATTTCACAAATAAAATTTTTAAACAAACTATAAGCTTTTGTTGCTGATGTTCATAATTAAAATAATAAACATAATTGGATCATCCTTTTGTTTTTTTCTCTTTTTATTTTGGAGTAAAATAAAACTTGTTGAAAATAAGTCTATGCTGTTTCAAGTGTCAAATATACCTAATTGAAGTATGATCTTAACAATAAAACAAAGTAATTTAAGTAATATTTCAAAATTAAGAAGACATAAATTCAATCAGAGATCTTCACTCAAAGACAAAACATTCTCACAGCAAAATGCACAAGTATGTGTACATGAAAAAACAAAAAACTAGCATATATATATATATACATCATATTTTAAAATATGTAAATTTACATAACATTGTTAAGCTAAAATATAAAAGAAGAATATTTTAGAATGCTTTGAAAATATATTTAAAACAATATGATACGAACATTATAAATTTTGCATTGCTTCTGTATATAATAGCTTCATAGTATGTTTTACAATTTTAATTCTCATTTAACTATCTTTACTAACATAAATATTGAAAGAATGAACTAAAACCAAAATATGTTCATTACATTACATCTGCAGTGCTATCAAATATACTATCTGAATGTATACAGTTGCCTGCACTGTATGTGGACAGAAATACATAAAATACAACTAGATAGTCTACAGTGCATCAAAAATTTAATCATTTACATGAAGACTAGGATAATACATAATAAATATCTCTAGGTCCATCAATTACATTGAAAATATTTCAAGATCCTAAGAAAGATACAAAAAGGTTCTCTTCAATCACTAAAATGATCAAAGGACCTAACCCATATATAAAGCCTGAAATATCTATACAAATTTACTAGTGAATACTACGGAAGATATATTATTTTTACACTAATTACAGCTTGTTGCATATTCATTTGGCTTGGTATGGTACAGATGTTATAGCAGCAGCATGTTCTGTAGCCAGTACAGCAGCTAGAATACATACAAAGAATGTAAATATAACTTTGAACATAATAAACAAACAAATAATATTTAATTATGAGTAATAATATAAACAAATCATAATAAATAGCAAACAAAAATGAAATATTTCATACATAAGTCGAAATGAAAAAATATGATTTTTCATCCTGTCACCTAAAAGTATCTATCTATATATATATATATATATATATATATATATATATATATATATATATATATATATATATATATATATAATATTTAAGTAATTAACAATTGCTTCACTGTAAACTAGACAAAATTTACTTAAAAATAATATATAATTTGTCATTATTAAAACAATTTTTTTCAACTGGAAGAAAACACCTTAACTCAGGGTTTGAAACAGAAAAAAGTTACAGTATCACTAAAATTTTTTCTTTTCAATAGTTTTTTAGATCTTTTAAAACTAGGAAATTTATCCCACCACCTTTTCAAGTAAAGATTTTATAGAACTTTTATTTTTAAAAAACTTTTATTAAAAAGTTCTGTCAATTTCGCTAAAAATTCTATCCAAAGAATGACTTTTAACCATAGTTTCTCAAACAAATGACACAGGAATCATGTGTAATTCATTTAAGACAAATTATAACTCTAATTTAAGCCCAATTGCTGTTTTTTATTTATTGAACTGAACTTTTTTTTTAAGAACTTTAATAAATACAAGTTGAACTTATACAATAAAACTGGTAAGATTTAATTAAAATCTTTTTTCCTAAAAATTTTTAACAGAAACTGTTAAAATGGAACTTTTTTTCCGAAAAAGAAATTAGAAATTGTTGAAATGGAATTTTTTAAAAAGGTCCATAAATATTCCAACCTCTGCCTGTATCAATTCGGATCTCTTAATATACTCATTATAAACCTTTTAATTTTTATCTTGTTTGTTTCGTGTCATTTCTACATAGTTCTAAATTTGATCCTCAGTTATTAATTTGTATTCCTAGTTCTTATTCTTTACTTACCTACTTATGTATTTTTTCAATTTTTATCTTAATTATTACTTAATTTTAACATTTTAATTTAGTTTAGAAACTTTTATTTTAATATTTTCTGTTAAATAGCCAATAAATTACCATACCCGTCTCCTTTCCTTTCCCCACAACCAAATCCATATCGAACCATTTTCACTTATTGCTGCTAGTCTAGCCAGTAACTACACTGACAGGCAAAAAATTCCACCCACTTGATTTTTTCATGTTTTCATCTAAAAATATTTCTGCTTTCGATTGGTCTATTGTTTTTAATGAATAAATAGGTAATCTTTTTGTTTGTTTTCAATTAGGAATGTTAATATAGAGGACAATAACCCTTAATCCTTAATTCAATGAAATGATTCTAGATTCCAATGTTTACTTTCTATGGAATCAAAATGTTTATTCAGTATCATTAGTTCAGTGCCGTTTCTTGCAGCACATTTCTTAGTCTCCGGCTTTTAATTTTTTCAATGTTAAGTTTAAAAATGCCTCTTAATGCTAAGGATGTTGCGCGTGGTGTGGCACTTATTGATGATGGACGTTCCATTAGATATGCAGCTAATGCCATCGGAGTTCCTTATGAAACTTCACAAGACGCCGTCAGACGTTTTCGGGAAACTGGTTCTTACAATAGAAGGGCCAGTTCTGGACAGCCTATGGTAACAGAACCATAGGATGACCGGTTTTTGACTTTGAGAATTTTACGAAACCGACACCTTACCGTTGTTCAAGCAATTCATCAGCTCGAAGAAGTTTGAGGTGTGCAAATTTCTGAACGTACCGTTCGCAGAAGATTAAATGAGTATGGATTAATGGCTTTTCGTCCAATAAGAGGACCAGAGTTGACCAGAACTCACAGAGTAACACGGCTGGCTTTTGCTCGAGAACATAGCCATTGGACTATGGACAAATGGAATGCTGTACTTTTTACAGATGAGTCAAGATTCGCTCTTCGATCTCCAGATGGGCGTGAAAGGGTGTGGAGAAGAAGAAACGAAAGATATGCAGCCTGTAATTTTTCCCAGAGCCAACCTTTCCAACGGGGTTCCTTAATGGGTAACAAGTGGGTGGAATTTTTTAGTAGTTATATATTATTAAATACTTTTGTTTCTATTATTTTTGTTAATTTTACCATATTAGGTATCATATTGCATTCCAAATATTTTTTTTTTTATAATTCAAAAATTCATCTCAGTTATTCTTAGCTCTTGTTTTTGCATATATTTTATTTATTTAGTTTTTTTTTCTTGGTGCACTAATATATTTATAATATCATATTTTTATTGAATATTTAATAGTTGACCGTTGCATTATAAAGGAAGGAGATGTTCTGGGGTGGTGGTCATAAATAGGCTAAATAGTGGCAAAACTATTTTACTAAAAGCTAAAGTTACGACCCGACTTTGCAGGTCTTCTTCACTTCATTCTTATGAATTATTCATTCCACCTTAAAGAGGAGTTATCTTCTCTCCATATTCCTGACAACTTTATCCTTGTTTCCCTAGACGCCGGAAGCCTTTTTACCAACACCCCAATAGACAAAGCCCTCCACATTGTACAGAAAAACTGGACAATCACTGAAACTCACACTACCCTTAACCTCTCCTCATACCTTGAATCCCTTGAGCTTTGTTACAGATCCTGATTCCTCACCTTCCAAAGAAAATTCTTTAATCAGATTTCAGGCCTAGCCATGGAAAATTCTTTAGCAGCAGATATTTCCAATATTGTTCTTAATGACCTTCTATATTCTGTTATCTCTTCTTTTCATCAAGACATCATTTTCATAAAAAAATATGTCAATGACCTCCTCGTTCTTAACCCTGACAGCATTCCTCATTCAACTCTTACCACCCCTGTCTTCGTTTCACTATAGAGAAAAAAGTTAACAATTCACTTCTCTTCTTAGACCTCCTAATAATAAAAACTATTGTCGGCTATGTTTCTACTGACTGGTATACTAAACCCACGTACTCAGGCAGACTACTCAACTTTTATTCTCAACACCCACATTCATTATTTTAAGTATTTCCACTTTGTATGATCTCTCTTTTATTTTATTTTAATTTTATATTTACATTCTACATCAATGCATGTTCATCCGTTTTCACTTTGTATTCATTTTACTTTTTAACCATGTCTCAATATTATCTAATATTTAAATGTAATTTTCTTACATATGTATAACTAAATATAATTATAATTTTTCATATTTTTTCCCTCTCTATACCTCTAAATTAGTTCTGCAATGTATGGTCTCTTATTTCTATATTTATATTTTACTTCTAAGTACATTTTACTTCTTCCATTTTTGTTTTCATTCACATTGTACTCTTATCTATAATCTCTTAATTCTATTTTATATGTATATGTATTTAATTATAATTTAATATTTCATAGATATAGTATTTTTCCTTTGTATCCATCCATATCTTCAAATTTTAGATACTGTAATTTTATAGGTTTTTCCCCATTACCCAAACAAGTCAGCAAATTCCCCAATATATGCCCTTACCCTGATTTTCCAGTTCTAAGTGAAACTCCTAGCTGAACACACCTGTAAGTCTCAATTTTTATTCTTCATATTTTATTTACTTATTTATTTATTTTTCTCTTTTCTTTCTCCACATTCCTTTATGTCTATTATTTCATATTATATCCTTTTTCCTTTTCTTTCAATCTCACCTATAGATCTGTAGAAGTATATTCACATTTGCATTTATTATATATTACACTACATTAATTGTTACCACCTATTTACTTCAATTTAGGATCTTGTTACTTAGGTTACTCTGTTTATATTTTAATGTACTTGCTGTTTATAATTTTAATAAGCTTATTCACATTGTTTATAATTTTTTGTCATAATAATATGTAACTTCCACAATTCTCTATCTTTTTGTATCTTATCCGTTCTAGCCCTGCAGAACACCTGCATAGTCGGGTCAAAACGTTGGCTTTTAATAAAATAGTTTGCCACTATTCAGCCTATTTATGACCACCACCCCGGACCATCTCCTTCCTTTATAATGCAACGGTCAGCTATTAAATATTTAATAAATTTATTTAAACTTTTTAATTTTCTTTTTAACATAAGTTTCATTATTATAAATTTTTATATCATAAGAACTTGGCTAGAAATTTCTTTCCATTTTATTATTGCGAATTACTGGATCAAGCAATATTGTAAATTAAATCGTACAATTGCAATCGAATGTTGTATGATAAATTTATCATTTGAGTCGTGATAAATCGGAGATTTCAGTAAAAGTAATAATTAAATGTATCACTTGGATATTTGGTACTTTTTGTCTAGCGGGTCGGACTGAAACCTCACTTCTTATCTATCTTAACTAACATCACATCACATAATCTTCCTCTTCTTAACCCGCCAAACCTTTGAGTTATTGCATTGTTTAGTTTTCAGTTATTCCCTTATTAAGTTCACTTATTAAATTCTTTACTTTTGGCCCGTTTGTGTTTATTTTTAGTTTTTGGCCCATTTTTGTTTATTTTACATTTTGTTTTTAGTTTGTGGCCCCTTTGTGTTTACTTTTCATTTTTATTCAGTTTATTTTCGTCATTTTATGGATCTTTTTAGAATATGGGATTTGCCGCCTTCAGAGGAACAGGCAATTCAATATTTTCAAAATATTAGGGTAGTTGCCGTGAATTTGAAATTGTGTGAACGATGTCATCGAATGAAGTTAACCAGGAAGGCCAAATGGAGATGCTTTCGTAGGACTTATGACACAAAACTTTCAATAAGGAAAGGAACATGGTTGAAGGGCTCGAGGATTTCATTTTTAACAGCTTTAAAATTGATTTATGGGTGGTCCCATAGCTTGACAACGATCAAGTGGGGCAAAGAGGAGCTGAAACTATCCTACGGAACTATGGTAACGTGGAACAAATGTCTAAGAAAGGTTTGTGCCCATGACATGTTATACAGGCCAAGAAAAAAAATTGGAGGACCTGGCAAAGTGGTTGAAG